AAGCCTAAGCCTGCAGAAGAAATCCACAGTTAAGGAGCAAACATCAGGAAAACCCAGGCATCAATCCACAGCTAATATGCACTAAAGGTGACAGCTATGTCTCCTCTAGTGGTAAAAAGCATTCAAGAGGGCCAGGGATTTAGCTCAGCGGCCCTGGTGTCTGTCACACAAGTGCAAGGTCCCGAGTTCAATCCCTGGTACCAAAAAAAAAAAGCATTTAAGAGTAATTTTATACAGTCAGTTATCTAGAAAACCAGTATAGCTTTAAGGTTTTATTATTAAAGATATAGGAGGATGGGGAAGGGAGAAAGCAAGAAAAAAATATTGAGGTCTTCAACTGTATGGCAGGGAGAGGGGAGAGAGGAGAGGCACAGGGTCCTCATGGTGTAGAGCATGTTATATACTTAGACGGGTAACTGGAAAAACTGGTGAGAAATTGGTGGTGAAAAAAGGAGAAGAAATTATATGATAAATATAAATATGAGAGAAAAAGTTAAGAGAGACAAATTAAAAAGGGGAAGACAAAAGAAAAAGAAAAAACAGGAAACAGGTAAGAAGAAATGGAAAATAAAGAGAGGGAAGAGAAAGAACAAGAGGGAATTGCCCTACTCTATAAACTAGAATAGAAGAAAAAGAAAAGAGGAGAAAGGATACACAGACACTCACAGAAGAGAAAAGGAAAAAGAAAAAAGGAAGGGAAGACGGATGGAGAAAGGGAGGAAAGAGGAACAAGGGGAGAGAGACAGACAGAGGGGCCGTTTGTTTCCCTGCTGTTTGGGCGCAGTGACCGCAGCGGGCGCAGGCGCCTCAGGCCCAGGGCGGCGCTCGGTGAGGCCCGTGCGGGGCGGGACGCGGGCTCCGCTGCTGCTGCGGAACCCACATGCTCAGCCGAGCGGGCCTCTGCCTGGCGCTGGGCTGCGATCCGATCCGCCGCTACCTGGACCCCGACCCCTGGGCGTCTCCCAGGGCCGCCCCTGCGTCAGGGGCCGGGAACTCCACACTGGGAAGTGGAGTCAGGCGACCGGCCGGTTCTGCAACTCAACACTACACCGTTTTTTCTCAAAACAAAGCAAAAGAAAAAACAAACACCCAAATCTCTTATTATCCAACTTTCCCCACCGGCCCTGCTCCATCTGGGTTGTGTTTGTGTGATCTCTGTGAGCTGCTAGTGAGCTGTTAAACAACAGTGCATCACCAATGCAGCTCTCTTGAGTTCCTGTTATTCGATAGATAATACGCACACCTCTTCTATTTCCTCACAGCGTGATGAGGCTGTGCTCACTATTTCCTATAAGTCTCCGGTTGCCTTTGGACTTTGTATTTTCTCCTTTTTTTTTTGTACCGGGGATGGAAGTCAGGGCCTTGGGCTTGCTTGCCAGGCAGGGGCTGCGCCACTGAGCCACATCCCCGGCCCTCCCTCTTCTCCTTTCCTCCTTCTTTGCTTTTTATTCCCTCTCTTCTCTGCTTTCTACTTTGGAAGATTCTTCCGTACGAAAGGCAGCAGCACCCGCGTGTGGCGGACACTGCAGAGCCACAGTGTGTGGAGGGAGAGAGGAAAGGACGCTGCTGAGGGAGCGGGCGCTGAAGGCCTGGGCTGGTTCTGTGGCCAAGACAGGCTCCAACCTCGCTTACTCACCTTCAGTGCATTGTTTTCTCTTCAGAGCAGCAGCCTCATGGACTCCCACAGCTTCCTGGTAAATCACTAAACTGGTGCAAGCGCTGTGGAAATTAGCGTGACCTAGAGGGTGAAGAAAAGAGCCTACAGAGCAGAATAACCCTCCTCTCCAGCCTGTTCTGGGGACTTTCCTGCCTGCGTCCCAGGAGACTCATGTGCTGACCTGTGAACCCTAAGCTGCAAACTGTCAGGAGCAGGTGTGCATGGAGGAGGGATGACCCCTACATGCTCCGTGTGACACAGCTCGAACAGCCTGGGTGCACTGCACAGGCAACAAACAGGCAGCACCAAGTAGCATTTGTCTTAAGGATGACACATGAATATTTAAAGAAGCACAGGGCGCAGTGAACATGAGGGCCAGCACAGAGGGTCTGTGCAGGTCGGGACTGGACGGCTGTTGCGCAGCTCCATTTCTGTGGCTACACAGGAGGCGTTAGCACCACCCAGCATCTGTTTATTGGGCCTCCATCTTCCAGCCAAGACCAGGTCACCCACATGAGGAACAACCAGTCCTGCAGCCTGATTCTGAGATGGACTCCAAGGCCCACCCTGATGGTCACCTCCCCAGTTATTCAATCACCTGCTGAAGTAGGTGCTGCTGGGAGGGGAATCCTAGGCATAACTAGGATCCCAACTCAGCCTGTCCCAACTGGGGAGCCAAAGGACAGAGCTCTTTCTGAGCCCAGAGAGGCAGGTGAGAGAGATTTCCTCTCCTGTGGGCTCTGAAAGTGGAGGGGCCCGGTGGCCAAGAAGGCCATGGCTGCTGGGATCCTAGCCCTCAGTCCTACACCTGCACCTGCTCTGTGTGAGGTGGAGGAGAACCCTGCGCTCCACAGAGGACGGGGCTTTGTGAAACCCTGAGGAGAGTTCATCCTGACTGGGTCTGACATCCTGACCAAGGATTGGACATGAAAAGTGGCTCTTTTAAAGCCATAGTGTGTGGTAACTGGTTACGCTTGTGTTCAAAGGCTGACACACAGTCTCAGCCTACGCAGCAGAAGTGCCTTCCCCACAAGAATGAATTTGTCACCTGCCCCCCACACCAGGAGCATGGAAGAAAATCTCCCCTAATTCTTTGTATTCGCCTTTTATGACTTCCTGTGGTGTAATTTCATCTCGGCACTGTCACACATCTTTCATTCAGGCACAAATGCTGATGTAGCACCTGCTGTGCACCAGGTCTGGCTTTAACTGCTGGGGCTCCAACTGTGAAATGCCCAGCCCCGAGCTTCTGGGCCTACTGCTCTAGAGGTTGGAGAGTGAGGAGGAGTCAGCCTGAAGGAACCACACGGCTGACTCCCAGGAGCAGGGCGCTGAGCAGTGACAGCAGCACAAGGCAGGAGAGGGGACAGTGCCAGGGCCACAGTTCAGGAGGGGTCGGCAGGGACTGAGGGGAGATGAAGACCTGAGGGAAGACGAGGCAGAGGGCAGGGTGGAGAAGCAGGAGGGGAGGAAGAGAAGCAGAGGTGAAGGTTCTAGAGCAGCGGGTTCCCAGGTGGAAGCACCTTTTTAGAGCTCTTTAGTGGCTACTGCTACAGAGCCCAGAGGCAGGCTTTGCATTTGCTGTTTAGGTCAACAGGTTTGGTGGAGCTGCCTCAAAGGAACTGCCTCCTCATGGTAATCTGGTCAAAGACAACAAAACCACTTTACCCAATAAAACGTGCACAAGGCCTAGAAGTGAATAATGCATAAAAAGAGAATGGGTGATCTTTGGGGAAGGATATTTGACTCACTGAACATAGGCAACTTTGAAATAATTTGTTTTGCCAATCTGGTTGAAATCTACAGTAACAACTTGGGTTTTCACATTGTTTCCCTTACCAGGAATTTACCAAGGTCTGGAAAGATTACTTTCAAAATTGTGGACAAAAACATGCTTTAGAAGTTGGGCTTCTCGGCTGGCTGTGGTGGCTCCTGCCCGTAATCCTAGCTAGTTGGGAGCCTGAGGCAGGAGGACTGCCTGTTGGAGCCTGTCATAAAAATAAAGGGGCTGGTCATGTAGCCCCGTGGTTAGGTCCTGCTTCAATCCCCAGCAGTTAAAAAAAAAAAGACAAACTGCACCACAGTAGAACGCCCCTGGCCTCCCTGCAAGGTACTAAAAATACAAACAGATTGAGCAACAGAAAAATTAAAAAACAAATACCAAACTTGGTCCTTTTCTGAACAGTGCTTTCAGTCTCTGGCCAACCTCTCTGTCCCACCCCAGCTGCTCGGCGCGCGGCTCGCGTGGGTGTCAGATCCGCGGCCGGCGGTGCCGTCACTCGCCTCGCTCGCTCCTCTCCTCAGGCTGCACCGCGGCTCTCAGCCCTCCGCTCCCACGGTGCAACGCACTCCTCTAGGAGAGAGATCCGGGTCACGGGCATCTTATTGCACGGTGCGGCTTAACTTCCCTTTCTCATCCCTGGCAGGGATTGCTGTCGGTTCCCTGTGGTGCCTAATTGACGAGATGATCTCCAGCACAGGTTCATTTGTAAAGTGTGGGAGACGCACAGTGCACAGGGTGGGTGCGGTGCCGAGACTCAGGCCCCGGGGTCTCGGCTCTCTGCTCTGAGGAGAAGGCGGCGCCACAGTGCCCAGGTCGTGTCCTGCACTCGCACACACACACTCAGGGATGTGAAATGAGGGTGACTGCGGAGCACACGAGCCTGCAGGCGCAGATCGCGCCGTGGGGAGTCAAACCCAGGGCCGAGGGCGGCGGCACGGCCCTTCCCACTCCCTCAGCGCAGGGCACAGAGCCCCTCCCTGGGCCCAGAGGCCTGGCCGCTCCGGGCCGACCCGCTGCGCCCCTGCAGGTCATAAGCACGGAGCGCCCGGGCCCGGAGTGTGCGCGGGCGAAGGCACAGCCTTCGGGGTGCAGAGAGGCCCCGCGTGCGCACCGCGGCCCAGGACGAGCTCGCTCCGCCGCTGTGCCCCGGGCGCGGCGTCTTCAGGGGCGTCCGGGCCGGGGAGGAGTCGGGGACGTGGCGGAGGGTCCGGGCCGCGAGCAGGAGGACAGGGCTGGGCCGCGCTTTCCTCTCCGGCCTCTGCAGGACTCAGGACTCGGGAGGCCGAGTGACAGAGCGCTCGGGGCGGGAGGAGAGGGTCAGGGCAGAGCCCCCGGTCGGGTCGGCAGCACCGGCTGTGACGTAGGCCCTGGCAGCTCTGCCACACCGGGCTCCACCCACTTGCGCTGTGTGATCAGAGCGGTCGGGTGCGGACGTTCATCACCGGGGAGCCCGCCTCTGCCTGGGTTTCACTTCTGCCTCTGCCAAGCCGTGTCGGGTCTTTCTGCCTGGACACTCGTGACGCGGGCCCGCTTACCACGCCCATTGGTTGCGGGCTCCTACAGCAGCCAATCAGCGCCGCCGCGGTTCCCGTTATAAAGTCCCCACAGAGCGCCAGCCTGAGTCCCGCAACCTGAGGATGGGGGTGATGGCACCCCGAGCCCTGCTCCTGCTGCTCTCGGGGGTCCTGGTCCTGCCCGAGACCCGGGCCGGTGAGCGCGGGCGGAGGGAGGCGGGGAGGAGCGAGGGCCGGCGCGGGCCGAGGTCGCGGTCTCACTGCCCGCCCCGCAGGCTCCCACTCGATGCGCTACTTCGACATCGCGGTGTCCCGGCCCGGCCAAGGGGAGCCCCGCTTCATGTCCGTGGGCTACGTGGACGACACGCAGTTCGTGCGCTTCGACAGCGACGCCGCGAGCCCGAGGGTGGAGCCGCGGGCGGCGTGGATGGAGCGGGTGGACCAGGCGTATTGGGACCGGGAGACACGGACAGCCAAGGGCAACGCACAGCCTTACCGAGTGAACCTGCAGACCGCGCTCCGCTACTACAACCAGACCGAGGCCGGTGAGTGAGCCCGGCCGGGTCAGAAGTCACGGCCCTGCCCGTCCCCACCGACGGGGTCCGAGGTTCAGGCGCAGACCCCAGTCCCGGAAGAGCGCGGGGAAGCGACCGGGTTTCGTTTTCAGTTCGGGTGAGAAAAAATCCCCGGGTGGGGGCGGGGCTGACCTGGGGGCGGGGCTGACTTAGGGGCGGGGCCAGGCTCTCACACCTTCCAGAGGATGTACGGCTGCGAAGTGGGGTCGGACGGGCGCCTCCTCCGCGGGTACACGCAGTGGGCCTACGACGGCGCGGATTACATCGCCCTCGCTGAGGACCTGAGCTCCTGGGTGGCGGCGGACACCGCGGCTCTGATCACACAGCGCAAGTGGGTGGAGGCCGGCGTGGCAGAGCGCCACAGGGCCTACCTGGAGGGCACCTGTGTGGAGTGGCTCCGCAGACACCTGGAGAACGGGAAGGAGCAGCTGCAGCGCACAGGTACCAGGGCGGTGAAGAACCTCCTGCCTCTGCCCGGGACCTCGCGGTACTGCTGCCCTCTGGCGTCAGAGGGGAAGAGGGTCCTGGGACTGCGCAGCCCATAGCACTTGGCGCTCCTGAGCCCGCCCTTCCCTCAGGAGGGTGAGAGTCTGTCCCAGGCTGGTGGAGGGAAGATCCCTGAGCTGCGCCTCAGCCCTTCCCTTGCTCCCTGGCTGCAGACTGAAGGCTGCCTCTCAGGCGTGTTCTCTGCCCCACAGCCAGTGCCTTGGAGATGCGACTGCAGTTGTCAGAGTCCCTGAGTCTCCACCCACGCGGGACTGCAGGTCCCTTTGCCTCCCCTCAGGGACCCCGAGCCTGCTCCCCTGGGCCCACTCACCGAGTCTGGAACTTTCCCAGGAACAGACCATCCCGGATGCCTGAGTCGCGGCTGCTCTCTGGGTTTTGCGTCTCCCCAGCTGCACTTGTCCTGTCCGTGCTCGGGACGGGCACATGAGCGCTGATGCAGTGGCCCGGGAAGAGTGCAGTGTCTGAATCTTCCCTCTCTGCCTCAGACCCCCCAGAGACACGCGTGACCCGCCACCCCTTCTCCAAGGAAGAGGTGACCCTGCGGTGCTGGGCCCTGGGCTTCTACCCTGCCGAGATCTCCGTGACCTGGCAGCGGGATGGGCAGGACCTGACCCAGGACATGGAGCTGGTGGAGACCAGGCCTGCAGGGGACGGGACCTTCCAGACGTGGGCGGCTGTGGCGGTGCCCTCCGGAGAGGAGCAGCATTACACGTGCCGAGTGCAGCACGAGGGGCTGCCTGAGCCCCGCACCCTGACGTGGGGTAGGGGACGGGGCACAGGGCCTCTTTTCGGGACAGCTGGAGCCTTCTGTGGGCCCTAAGAGCTCAGGGCTGAGACCTGGCCTTGGAGCCCATTCCCCTCCCCCCTTCCCAGAGCGGCCGCTTCATCCCACCATGTCCAGAGGAGTGGAAGTCATCGCGGTCACTGCTGCCCTCCTCGGGGTGGTCCTCATAGCGGTGGTGGCTGTTGGGATGTGGAGGAGAAAGAGGGCAGGTAAGAAGGGGCCGGGTCTGAGTGCTCCTGTTTCAGAGCCAGGGGAAGTGGGGCCGCCTCAGGTGGGGACCCCACACACACGCAGGTGCGCACCCAGCCGGGCCGGGACACTTGCTCTGTTCTAAAGCACCTGGAAAGGAAGGACAGCTCTGTCACCCGATGGGTGTGCTGATGCCGACCTGAGCCCAGCAGTCGGGTCCTCGGGGAAGTCCCTGCTGATCAGGGCTCCAGGAGGGCGGTGGTCAGGTCCTGAGCGTGTCCTTCCTCGTGCCTCCTGGTCCTTGCCTGGCTCTGCAGCCCCAGTTCTGGAAACTTCCCTGGGGTCCAGGCCTGGGCCGTCCTTCCAGGCTGTCAAGGCCCTGCCTGCTCCCTGGCTCCTCACAGGGCATTTGCTTCCCACAGGTGGAAAAGGAGCCAGCTATGGCCCGGCTGCCAGTAAGTATGGGGGTGATGCCGAGAGCCTGGGGTGGTGCAGTCAGGAGCTCGGGGAGCACCCGCCCCACAGCGCCCCCTCCAGCTGCGTGTGCTGTGGGCTCTGACTGGGTCCGGCTGTGTTTCCTACCCCAGGCAGTGACCGTGCCCAGGGCTCCGACTCATCTGTCATGGCCTGAGAAGGTGAGAGCTGAGGCCCGACCGGGAGAGGGGAGACGGGGCCAGGCCTGGTCACACTCTGAGCGGGAGCCTGGAGGGAGCAGCAGCAGGTTGCTCAGGCTCTGGCCATTGGCCCCGACTCCCCATGGCTCACGGCTCTTCTGTGTGAGCCCGAGAACGCTGCCGGGTGAGGGACAGAGGGCCGAGGCTTGTTCAGCTCAGGAACCCTGGGCGCTGTGTCTGCAGATGGCTTCTGACCCTGTCCCCTGGCAGAATAGGGGATCAAGCGACAGCAGCTCTCCCTGGGCCCACAGTGCCCTGGGTTCCCTTCCTGCCCAACTTCCCTGTGTCAGCAGAGGCGCGGCTGACCTTCTCCCTCCCGGTGTCAGCCTCAGGTGCCCTGGGCTGCTGCTCCCTCCTGCCCTGCTGTAGTGAGGATTGTCCTCCCAACCTCGGCCGAAGGAAGGCCATCTTTCTGTTTTTTGTCTTTTGAGACTGGGTCTCACTACGAAGTTGAGGTGGGCTTGGACTCACTATATAGCAAGGCTGGCCTTGGACCCACAGTGATCCTCCTGTCTCAGCCTCCTGAGTGCCTGGATCACAGGCCAGCACAGCCAGGCCCGGCTGCAACTCCGTCTTCTTCTAGGCCCCTACCAATAGCTTAGGCTGTGCCAGACTGCAGCACAACAAGCCCCCTGCCCGCAGTGCTCCATGAAGCCCTGCAGAGCTTCCTGATGAAGATCAGATGGCGTGGAGGACACACAGCTCCGGCCAAGGCCGCTTCCCGCTCTGATCCCCACCTTGTTTCAATCAAAGCCCTAAAACCACTTGCTGAGCAGTGGGGTTGCTGACTGCAGTAGTGCTGGGACCCCAAGTCCCCTGCTCTGTGAGTAACCCTAATAAACTCATGTGCTGGCCACGCTGGCCTTGTCTGAGTTGTTCTTGGACCGTTGACACTCTCTGGGCTCGGAGGCCGGCCTTCCTTTAGCATCTCTTGGAGATTCCCACACAGGGACATAGGCCGCTGAATGTGAATTTGGTTTCTCCAGTTCCTGACAGAGGCTGACTGGCTAATCACAGCTGAGTCCTACACTTCCGGGGAGAGGTCAGCGGGAGCTCTGAGGACCTCCCCTCACTGTGCCGTGCTGAGTCTGCTGAGGCGGGCACGGGAGAAGGCTGTGAGGAGCCGAGGGGGGACAGAGCTGAGCGGTCGCTGCCCGGTGCTTGCTGGGCTTTGCCATGGTCCCTCCTCAGCGGGGTCACCTCTGCTCCCGGGTCCCTGTCCCTCCAGGAGAGCCTTGTCCCTGCGTGACCTGTCCTCACGGGGACTTAGACGCCTCCAGGTCCTTGTCCTGTGTCCAGGCCATGGACAGCAGTGGCTTCCTGTGGCCAGGTCAGCCGGGCTGGGCCTGGGCGTGGCCTCACCCCACCCTCCGTGTGTTTTTCCTGGTTCTTGGTTTCCTCAGGGGATTATTCTGGCCTTGCTCTTGCCGGGGAGCCCAGACTCATTCTCTTTTGTGTGTTCCTGTCTCTGACAGTGCCAGGTGTTCGTGCTGCCCTTGTCCCAGAGGGTGGAAGTGACGGCTCCTCACGTGGCATCTTCCTTCCTCTTTCGTTTTTCTCCTCTGTCCTTTTAGAACTTTCCCAGGACTTTCTTCTTTTCTTCAGTCTTTTAAATCCAAATCCTGCTGCTAGGATTAGCAGAGAGGAGGGATCCCATACTTCCTCATCTTAGATAAATTCTTTCCTGCTCCACTCACCCACCCCTCTCCCTGCCTTTAGCTCTGGTCATCCAAGCCCTGGCTCCAGTGCAAACTTAAAGACCCATAGGACAGAGTCTAATATAGATGAATGTTTGCAAAACAGGACCATTGACTTGAAATGTTTCCCTAAATGGGCAAATGAACCTGCTGTGCTGTGCAGAAGGGCTGCTGAGGGGGGCGGCAGGAAGGGAGGCAGCGCCTGTGAGAAAAGCCCAGGGCCCTGACCTCAGTGTGAGAGGTCCTGGCACAGCGCCTGGCTTGAGACCCGCCAATAAAGACCGTGAGTCTGAGCAGCCACTGAAGGGGAAGCAACTGCAGGTGTGCGTGCGTGTGCATGTGTGTGTGCGTGCACAGCTGTGTGGACAGGGAAGCGGGCAGGTGAGTTACAGTCCCCACTCCCTGACTCCCTTTGCTGTTCTCTTCTGTCTCCCTCACACCTGCTGGCAGTGGGCATTCATATTTGGATTCTTTTCATTCATTTCCAAATTTTCAAACATTGTAGGGCTGGGGTGGCAGGAGCAGCAGGAAAGGGGAAAGCAGGAAAGGAGCAGCATGGGAAGAGCAGGAGGAGGGCGTGGAGATGAGAGGATTACCCTGGCGTGAAGGGACTGAGTCCCTGAGGCAGTGACAGAATTAATCACTCCTTGTAATTACCGGTGTGTCTTGGGAAAACTGAGGCCCTGAATGACACTGCAAAGAACTAGAGTTTCTGAGTACAGAAACGTGGAAGGGCGTTCACTGGCCCAGCTTCCAGCCTAGATGAAGGTGAACGTTGGGCCTTACTGACAATGTGATTTCGGAGGCCTGGAAGTTTTGCCAGAGAAACCTGCACATCGTACCTGCCTCCATCTGAGTGCAGACAGAATCCAAGACCCGCATGCATGGAAGCTCGGCACAGTGTTAGAAATCTGGAGAGTCTGGCTATGTTTCTCTGTGAGATCACAAACCCGTTTGTTTTGGAACTGTGGCAGCAAATCCCAGACTTCGATGGACTCGACCAGGAAGAGAAGGAAGGACCAGACCCGGAAGAGGAGGAGGAGGAGCAGGAGGAGAAGGAGGAGGAGGAGGGAGAGGAGGAGGGAGAGGAGGAGGAGGGAGAGGAAGACCTTTGAGGGAGAAGAGGAGCCAGATGCTGAGAAGATGGAGAGGAAGACGGTGCCGAGCTCAGCCTGCGGCCTCGTTCCGTTCCCCGCCATCCTGGTGTCGGTGGAGCGAGCGCAGCTCTGCCTCTGTGTGTGCCAGCAACTCCCTGCACAGGACAGCGAGACTCTGCACAGGAAGAGTGTGACTCTGCTCTTCCCGCCTTCTCCTTCCAATTCCGATCTGCTGTCTGCTACTGATCAGCCTGGATGTAGAGGAAGAGTTCCACCGACCTGTCCACTGTGCAGCTCTCCAGCAATTGATTTAGAGTCTTGATTCCCTAATTCACGCTCACTGTGTTAGTCATGTTTGGCCCGTGATTCAACGTGATCTCTGTTATACAGGGGAGTTGGTGCATTTCACTCAAATATGGGTTTTAATGTTATTTATATATTAAGTGAAAGTACAGTGAGCAGTAATACGAAGTGACAGAAGTCTCTTGAATAATAAGGTGAATATTTTTTTAGAAGTAATTGAGAGATCTTTGGTTTGTTTGTGCTTTTTTGGTACCAGGGATCGAACTGGGGACCTTGGGCTTGGAAGGCAGGTGCCGGACCAATGAGCTAAATTCCCAGCCCGAGAGATCTTTGGTTTGAAGGCAATGACATTTATTTGGCTAACATATTTAGATGTTTGTTGCGTGAGTAATGTTGGAAATTAGACACAGAATAATGCAGGCCCACTAAGCAATATAGTTCGTGGATTTTGGGAAGTTGCTGCTCAGTAATTACTATACTCCATGGATTTTGTGGTGCCCGATAAGATTTTATTTTTGAAGGAACAATAACTTATACTAAGTCCAGAGGCACGCAGGTGAGCCCTTTCTTGGGCTGCAGATCACGACAGGCCCAGTGTTGTTTGTTTTATTTTGCCCGGTGTTAGGCACTCTCTCTCCCTCTCAGCAGTTTCTGTGTGATCGCCTCCCTTCCTGTTTCACTCCTCTCTCTGTCCCAGAGGAAGGTTGGGCAGCTTGTGGATACTCAGAGGACCTTCAGTCTTTTACCTCGATCACCTTTTAGACCTGTCTGGGTTTTAAATAAGTGAAGTGGAAGAAATTTAGTATTCTTGGAGAGTTAATGTTGCTGATATAGTTTTATTCAACAAGTTCTGCTTACTGTAAATGTTCTTTGGTTTATATAATGGGAGAATATTATTAGGAGGTTGGAAAAAGAAAAGAAGTAAAGGAGGCTTTTGGAAGTAGTATTAGTGTATCTCAAAAATCTGACCAATTGATTGTTGATAAGTAAATTTAAATTGGCTTGGGCCGGGGATTTAGCTCAATGGCGCAGGGCCTGCCTCATAAGCACAAGGTCCTGAGTTCGATTCCCAGCATTGCAAAAAAAAAAAAATTTTAAATTGGCTTCCCAAAGGATTTGGATACCAACCATGTGAAGTATTTTGTTTTTCTAAGTAGAATTTTAATTAATATTCCTATTGTTTTAAAGCGTTACCAGATATCACGAAGGAGTAGAAAAACTGGGATACTCAAACAGAACACTCTGACACATGAAATATCCACAAATTGGCTTTAATGCTGGCAGCTCAGCGAGTGACTCCTGTCTTGAGAGCCCCGAATCGAACTTTACTCTCTTTATATAGCTCCTTTTACATTTACAAGGCTTAATTTCATTGCAGTTTCCCTGGGTATATAGCAAGCAGGATCTACACAAAGCAGAGCAGTGGGGCGGGGGGCCAACAGTTCTGGCAGGGCTTTCTGAGTCTGTTATGCTCCTTTGGTGACAGATTACAGAAGTTGTCATCGTCATTCAGGTGCATTCCACAAAGAGCACAGTTACCTAGTTAACCCATAGTTGCCCAATTCCGTACAGAGGGATGGTTTCTTGTCTCAGTAACATCTTTGCAATATAGTGGGTAGTTGGAAAAATATTTAAAACTAAATCAATGTTCTACTTGCTTTTCTTGTTGCTGAGACAAAATACCTGATGCCTAAAAGTAAGAGGAGGAAAGGATTATTTGGCTCACAATTTGTAGGTGTTTCAGCCAATAGTTGGCATAAAAACACATATGCAAATGACATACAGTGGCGAACCCCAAAATAAATCCATGCATGTACTCAATTGGCTATCCACCAAGGCGTCAAAACACATAAAGAAGAAAAGACCAATACATGTTGTTGGGACCACTGGATATCCACATACCAAAAAAAAAATGAAGGTAGATCCTCATCTTTCACCATAGAACTGAAAAATGCGCTAAAGATATAAAGATAAGACCTAAAACTAAAGTTTCCAGAAGAAAAGAATGGGAGAAGGCTCCATGGCCTTGGTCTCTGGGACTACTTTTCAAATACGACCCAAAACTCATAGGAAGCAACAGTGCAAAGAGGCTAACGAGATTTCAGGAAATGTGAAATTTTCTGCACAGGAAAGGAAACCATCAATAGAGCGCCGAGACAGCCTACATAGTGGTAGGAAACGCTCGCAAGCTAAGCACAAGGTTAGGGTTAATACCCTACTTATATAAGGGACACCAGCAGCTCAGTAGCAAGAAAAGAAATACTGTAACTTGATTTCAAAATGGGGAAAAGGGGCCGGGGATTTAGCTCAGTGGTTCCGCCGCCTGCTTCCCAAGCACAAGGTCCCAAGTTCGATTCCCGGTCCAAAATAAAAAAATTTAAAAAATAGAAATGAGGAAAAGACCCAAAACACATTTCACAAGAGAAGACATACAAGTGGCAGACACGTATATGAACACATGCTCAACATCTCTAATCTTCAGGGAAAAGCAAATCAAAATGACAATGAGGTATCATCCCTCCCCAGTTAGAATGGCTGTTACTTAAAGGTGAAATTAATGTTTTTCTTATGCCAAAAATTGTTTGCAAGGATATGGATGAAGGGGAATTGTTGCCCTGTGGTTCTGGGAATGTAAATACATAGGTTCAGTCATTATGGAAAATGGCATAGAGATTCCAAAAAAAATTCATAATGGAACAACTATGTGATCTAGAAATCCCACTACTGAGTACGTACACGGAGGAAATGACCGACAGGAAA